ATATTACAAATATAAAAAAAGTATATATATATATATATATATACACACACACACACATACACAAACACACAGTGTCAAAAGAGTGGCACTGGGAAAACTGTTTTTTGAAAAGAATTTTACATAACTCAGCCAATTGGAGCAAAAGTTGTTACAAAGTGGATATCCAAAGTGCATTGCCCTCTTAGTCAGCTTTTCCAGAGAGAAACCTGAAAAAGAGAACTGCTGGGCAGCTACAAGATTTATTCCAAATGTCTCTGTACCAACCCTAGCTTTCCCATGTGTAATGCAAAAAATGTATATATTTGCTTTGATATGTTAAAGAACAGCAGGGCCTCTAATCATTTTTTGGACAACTTTTATAAAGTTGGGCAAACATCCCAGCAGCTGAGAAAATCAAAGTTACATATTTCTTCTATTTCATTCATATCTATCAGCCATTTTAACATTCCATCCATAAAAAACAAATTAAGAAGTGATAATTGCTTAAAAAGAAAGACCAATCAGGTAACTGTTCTCCTTCTGGAAAGTAATTAATATAGGCTGGATTTTATAAATCTCCTGAGAATAATTTATATACTGAAAATGACATACTGCAATCCACCACACCCATATCAGCTCTGCGACCCATCTGATCCAACAAATAGGTAGATGGGCTGCATCCCAACACTGAATTGACTAAACACAAAGATGACAACTCACCTCCATTTGGGGCAGAGGTCTAAAACTTGCAAACCTACTAGAATCATCACTGAGGCATGAAACAGCATGCTGCCACAACCTCTGTCCTCAGTTTGAGTCTGGCCCAGAACTTCACTGGACTCAGAGTAAAATTCGATAAGAATTTAACTCCAATACAAATGTGTTTTAACAGATACCCATTCATACCAGAAACAAAATTTCCATCTTAAATAAATACGAACTTATCTGCAAAAGAGAGTAATATCTCATAGACCTATGAATGATAACAGGATTGTGAGGAAAAGAGCTGATAACTTGATATGGATGCTGATTCCACAAAGAAAAATGTCATTCTTATTTTTGGTACTGCAGAAAGAGGTAAGTGTGGAATGAAAGACAAATTTGAGTGGAAGAAAGGCGATGCAAAAGAGATTTGTTAACAGAAAACAAGTTTTAGAGCAGAGAATGCAGTAAGTATAAGTTTAACATAAGGAATGAAAAAACAGTAATTGACCTGAACAGTAATAGAATTACACCCACATTTCAAAACCTATTCATACTAGGGAGATAAAAAGGTGATTATTTATTTCAGACATATAATACCATAATCCCTTTAAACAACTGAAGGCCTTTCTGCACACAGGGGTAATTCCAATCTTTTCGCACAAAATAGACCATATGGCATATCTCCAGACACTAAAAAATAATCTGAATCATTTGGTGCAAGAACGACATTTGCCCCATTAATGGTGTAGCAGATAATCTGTATACTGTGACTACGCGCATCTTCTAACAATGTCCCGAGCAAGAACGAGACAACTCCAAACTTACCTCATTCTAGCACCAAGTGACAATGTGAGTTCGGTATCATCAACAAATTCAATCAGCCCCAATGAACAACCCAGAATCTGATGTAATAAATGATGACAACAGCAGTGAATGACAAACTAATGCTAGGGTTCTTCCAAGAAAACTTCTTTAATTATTGCAGTTTTATTCAAATCTGTATGAATATACAACTGTAACTAAAATATTTTTATCAGAATTCTTGGCAAAAATTAAAGCCTGATGCAACAAGGAGACTCTTTTACTCCAAAACAAATTACTTTCTGTGGCAATGTTCTGAATTTATAAAAAAGCATTCTAAATTATGTTGACCTCACAAACTGTAAAAGTTATTAAAGCATTCTTTATTATGTTTTAGCAAAGCATGTCTACTGCAGAGTTTCTTTACTTGCTTATAAATTTTGAAATTCAGACTCAAGTCAAATTTTGCAATCTATTATGATATAGAATATTTAAATTTTGCCCAAAATACATTTTTCACTTCATATAGCCTTAGTGACACACCTAACAAACAAATTAATATTTTATCGCTAAGGCTTCTAAGAATCTCTCATACAAAATGTAATAAAATCCAATACAGATATCTGGAGCTGACAGACGTGACACGCACAATTTACATGCCTATAAAACGTTTCTTATTTTATTACTAGTCGCTACATGTAAAAAACACCTAAAATAAATAACAAAGCAACTTATTTTACTTACAAGCAGGCCTGTGCCAGTTTACCGGAACAACAAAGGTATAAAAACTAAAGAAAAAAATTGTACCGTACCTTACCACAGTTTTCTAAAATAAGAACAATAATTTCTGCAAATAAACATTTTATTAAAGCAAGTTAAACTGTCCTTTAGTGTTTTAACAACTTTGAATTTGACATTTTAAACTTATCTGCTGAAGTACCTACACATTCAAAACTTCTGACTTACCGAGAAAACATTATGTACGTATTCATGTCACTAGAACATGGAGACATGGCTTTACAAAACAACATACAGTGGTTATTCTTCGCTATTCCCATACGTTCCTTAATTTTAATTAAATTCTTTCGGTTGAATGATACAGACAACATTTGAGAGGCGGTAAACTTTTACACATGTGTTGATTTCAATGATAGTAGCATCTTCGTATTCTACCGTCTACACGGCGCATAAGGTGAGATTTCATGCTGTCATGACAGCGAGTATTAGGATGACTGCTTCTGGGGTGTTGCGCCAGAAGACAGACAGCCAGCCATCTTCCTGAATCCTCACAACCTCATGGGAATACGCTTGGATGGGGGTTCTCTCTCACACAGCTCCCTTCGGTCTACTGACCTTTTGTGCTCACTCATACTTCGTAGTGGTTCAGTTGGGGACTTTTCTTTGTTCAAGTAGGATAAATCAATACAAGTTGTTCCCGTGTTACGGAACCCAACTGTACACGCATTCAACACATCCCTACAACGATAAAATAAACGTTCGTCTGTCAGTATAACAACGCTATGAAAATTAATATAAAATTTACATAAATACCAAACCACTACATCATTCTTCGAAACCCTGTTAACAACAGAGTGGAAAGCTGCACTACGTTCGGTAGACCTAGACACGCAGAATTTGATGTTTTCACGACGGTGAGTCTGAAGATTGCTGTCTTCTGGGTTGCTGCGTAGATGTTTACCGACGTTTCAGAGGTCCTTGCTGCCTCCATCATCAGGGCGATGGAGGCAGCAAGGACCTCCGAAATGTCGGTAAACATCTACGCAGCAACCCAGAAGACAGTAATCTTCAGACCTAGACACATCTTCCAAATGCATTCTTTGCGATTTAATACCTCTGGTCTAAATGTTTGTTTACTGAAGATATAAATATATTGCTGCAAAACCAGACGAACTACATATATAACACTAATCTTTCCTTGCAGGCGAACACGCTCATTTTACAGTGTACGAATTCCCAAAAATAAGGTGTTGCTTAGCAAGTCGTTGTAATTGACCTTCTAACATGAAATAACCTACCGGAATTTCAGCAAGAGCGCTATTATAGTTATTATGAGCCTACTTGTAGTATATCTGCCCAGTGTTCGTGTCAATGATGCGCTGACTTAAACAATACTATTATAAATTAAACAAAATAAAAGCAGATATATCTGATAACAATATGGTTATTCGTATAAGCTTTTCCTCCAAAACCTCTGTGTACAAGTTTTGTTTCTCCATTCCAGCTCCAGTCGTCACTGGTTTTAACTGGCGTAACAATACTTGGTACGCTGTAAGAATCTATGTTTCTCATTGTGAAACGTCCTAAATCCCAAGAGTTTTTAATCTTTCGTGAGAACAATACATACACACACAAGCGTGCGCGGCAACCACTTGACAGAACGAAAAGTATATATTGGAGGATAACAAAACTGAATCTTAAAAAAATGTTTAGGTGGGAAAACAATATATGAGACAAGTAAAATATGCTATTGTGACAGAGG